GGGAAAAGCTGTGTACACTAAGGATATTCAGAAGGACACGTATCCCAGAGCTCATCTTGAGGTCGTATCTTATTTGTAGTCTGTGAGCCCTCTCTCCTTTGGCCACTTCCACAATCTGACAGCAGTAAAATCTTTGAATGAAATGTGGTGGTGTTTGTCACAGGTTAAGATCACTGCTGTGGCTGATATGATGAATAGCTGAATATGTTTCTTTAACGCAGATGGTAGATTAAGCCAAATCATGTTATAGAAATACTTTGCTTTTTCTGCTTCAGGTGTCTTACATGTTCTTATTTAATGTTGATGATGACTTTTCCAATTTTGTTGGTCATTACATCCACAGCAGCTGTTTCCAATTTACAGTATACTTTTAGGCACCTTTTCCTCCTGATCTGGAAGTGAAATAAGAAGGAGGGAAAAAAAAAGGCATTAAACATCACTGAGTCAGGCTTTATCCTCTCGTAACAATATTCATGTGTGAGGTACGTAGGGATTGCAAAAGTCAGAAAGAATTGTAAAGCATCTTGAGTGGAATAATATGGTCCTTCTGTAAAGTACATTGCACGATCTTGAAATATCCCAACTTTTTTGATGTGCATAAAATTGATCTGAATTTAGCAACATGTTTTTCTCTTACACATTGGGATTTGAATGAGAGACTGCAGACAGACCTATAAAAGGCATTTGAATTCTATAATTGTATAAAAGAAGCCAGCAGTAGCTTCCATGCTTAGCAAATATGGAAATTCTGGTAGTGGGAAGATTTCAGTCAAGGTCATATTGTATTGCTGTTCCATAAACAGCGAGCTTTCTTAATGCATGTGTTCTGCAAATTTCACCTGTCAAAATGCATGTTACTTTTGATCGTGCCTGTTTAAAAAAATATGAAAAAATAAATCCTCATCGAGAAATAACGAATAAAACAAGAAACCATCACTTGGTGCTAACATGTTGACAAGTAGATTACTGTCTCGCATCTCTCTCTCTTGGAAAAAGTTTTGAGGAGGGTAACCAGGAATGGACTGTAGCAGCCAGTTGACACACAGGTGTCATAAGATGTGATACAGAAGCAGAACTAGTTGTTAACACTCGAGGATCTCCCTTGGGCTTTTGTTATGGATCTCATGGCAACATTGAAAGTTCACTCTTGCCTACTGATGATACATTTATTCAGCCAGTCCCAAATGCTGCAGTCCTTTAAGGAGCCCTGACTCCTTCTGTTTCTATGTTTTCTTCTTCTTGGAAAAATACTGGGAAGTACCTACAAAACACCTGTTAGAGACTAGTTCATTTTCCTGCCTCTTGTGTGGTAGCTTCTGGTAATTTCCCCCCGTTGTTCACCTGTTGGTTTATAGTAGATAAAAACTTGTGCAATGGCATTTCAAATCAAAGGTGAGATAGATATTAAAAAAATCCATTTATTTTCTCTGGCTTTACTAATTATTTTCTCACAAATTGATGATTTCTTGCCTAAGCTTATGTTTTTCAACTTATTTGTCTTCAATTCCGCAATTTGCAGATTAGAATTTGAACACAGAGCAGGTGCATTTATTTCCAGGAGTGAATGGCCTGTATGCCATTGCTTTTGAAGAGGCTTTCCTCCAGAGTCTGGTGGGAGGAGGAAAGAAAAGATGATGTTTGCTATTGAGAAAGCTATTTGCACATGAATTATATTCTGGTAGAGAAAATACAGCTACATCTTCTAAACTGTGAACATGATGAAGTACGTGTGTAGTTGAGATCTCGATGTGAATTTGTGCATCTTCCCCAAAAAAATCAGTGCAAGACTGTTGGCTTACATGGCTTTGCGTTTTTTAAATATTTGAGATAGATATATGTTGGGCTACTCCAGCCAGCTTCCACTGTTGGGATTTTGTTTGTTTACTGACGTATGTCTGAGCATAACTGCTGCTGATTTGCACTTGTGGAAGGGTAGTGAAAAGTAGGTGCAGAATTTGTCTGATGTCATTCTCCCTTCCTGTCACTGAAGAAATAAAATGTGGTGTTTTATTCAGTCCCGTGCCACTTAGCAGTGCATTAGGTGTACATATGTAAAAATCTTAGTACTGCCTTTTACAGTAAATTTTAGCTATTCACTTCTGTATTATATAAATTAGTCATGAGATTGACAACGATCTCACTGTGTAAGCAACAAGCTGTTTTAAGTCCTGAAATAACTATTGACACTGAAGCTTGTCAGATGAGAAACTGTTGCTTTGCAATTCCCTATGCTGTTCAAATAATAGAGCAGAGATGTGATTAAGTACAATATCTGACTGACCTTTCCAGGGCTGGACCGTTGCCTTTTTATTAACACAGAAAATATTGTGTAGTAAGCGATTAGCTCTGTGGCTATCGGAGATTATGAAGAATGACTGTAGGAAGCGATGTGCTTCCTGCAACAGGAGCTTGGCTTGCTCTCAGGCTCTTAAGCTTCTATGATCAACCATGTAAAAATATATATATATATATTTATACAAATACTTTGTCTGTGAGAGAGATACTAGAATGTTATGTAGCTCTCCCTCATTTTTTGAAGTTTTATGCCTCGCTGCTGTTTATCTGAACAAGAGGGAAAGAAAGTCTCTTTAATGACTTCCTTTTGTGCTTTGACAGCAGATGGCAATTATGAAACGTTTAACTTTGTAAGTATGACTTCACTGACGGTACTTGTCCTAGTGATTTCCTGGCTTGAAAACACCAGCAGCAGTATGTTCTGTATATTGACTGTGCTCTTACTGAGCATCAAAATAAAATAATAAAAAAAAAAATCCTCTCCAGATTTCTTATGAATGTAATTTAGGTATTTTAATGGGTAGTGGCAATGGTAGTCATTAATCAACGTTCTGCTCTTCTATTTAGAAAACTCCTGTTTGTCTGCCCTTCTTGTGTCTTTATGTACATGAAGCAGTCAACTCCTCCACCACACCAGCCTTTCTTGTGTTTCATGCTCTGTACTGCATTTATTTTATTTGTATGCATGCCTGCTGTGTTTTCATTCTGTTTTAGTTTTGCCTTTATCTGCCTGTGACTGTTTTTACTCTGTCACTTGAGTCTTTGATTCGGGTGACCCGATAATGCTCGTATGTTGCATGAAAAATGTAATGGCAAGACATTGGCAGGATGGAGGAGGGCTTGAGTTTCTCTTTTGGTCAAGATTTATTGGCTTGATGTTCCCCTTCCCAGTGTGTTGCGATCTTTTGCACAGATTCCCAGCTAGTGTTTTATCTCATAAGTAAGTTGCTCCCAAAGAACTCTGTTTTTCCATTTTTTTTATGTTCTAAAAAGCCTCCAATTCACTGGTAAGAGCCATTCTTGATGAAGTACGTGCACCTCGTGTAACACTTGTGCACACTGGCTATTAAGGTCTGCGTACAGCCAAGCAATGTAAAAGGCTTGTGCAAAAATGAAAATCGATGCCTGGATATTTAATTTTTGTGGGTTGCATTTATTTTTTGGAAGTGGATTTTATTACTGTAATTTTTTTGTTTTAATTTTTTTTTTACCTCAAACTAGCACTCATCTTTCAACTGCCACATGAAATTGCTGTTGTGCACTAGGGAAAAACATACCGCTGTGGAGGTAGACGCAAATAGGGACTAGCTGGACACCCTGACATCTCCACCTAGTTGTAGAGGTATTTCTACTATAAAAGGAGATCTGCATCTCCTTCTTTCTATATCCAGAGAGCCTTGATTTGATATGCTGTGAATACTCTGTGTGATCTGAGGTCCAAGAGAAGGCTTTACTATTTACACTGTCAATGGGCTACCACCTATAAGGGCTAAATTCACTCGAGAAAAAGAATTGACTCCCCCCGCCGGTGTGAAGACAGTGAATAGCCGTACTTTGTTAGCTCTCCTATGATTGTTTTCTGGTGACAACTGTCTGGAGGTTTGGATTGTGTATGCCAGGTGTTGAGACACCCAATCTAGGCAGGAGGTTTGGTTCCCTTGTAAAGCTGAACAATTACGGCTGTAACAATACAAGTCAGAAAAGGAGTTAAGCACAATTGCATGTAGGGGAGTCCTAAAAGTAAACAGTTTTTAAAAAAGTGGATTTGCAAATAGTAAATACAAATTTAATGATCACCTGGTGCTTTCTTATCCTGATGGCTTTTTGTTTGTTCATTGGTAATGATATGTACAGTTCTTTATTTTTGCATTTTCTACAAATCCTGGGTTCGCACAAAACATTTTGGCGAAAAGGATCATTTTCTTATAGTTTAACCTGTTCTATGGGTAAAAAGCGGACTTCAATTTCCAGGGCTATCAAATGGTGATTTAAACACAAGCTGGTTTTGCGTAAATGGTATTGCTGTTTTTGTGATGCACTGAATGTATAGCCTTGTCTCTACCTTTTTTAAAAAATGCACTAGTAGCTAATCCATGCTGAGTAACCTCTGTAGACTGTGACCTTCCATGTGGTGTTTGCTTAAAGAAGTCTATGAATTAAGAAGAAAGTGACAGAAGCAATGAATAAACAAAAAGATGGAACTCATTCTTCTTCATCTTTTAAATACAGCTATTTTGAACTGGAGAGCAGTGGCCTACGGGATGAGATTAGATATCACTACAGGTTTAATGGGAAGTCAAGAACAGAGGTTTTCCCGTACCGTCTGGCAGATGGACAGTGGCATAAGATTGCCGTGTCACTTAGTGCATCCCACCTTCTGCTCCACGTGGACTGCAACAGGTAAGAAAATCTGTTCAGTAATTTATGTTTCTTTAAAAAAATACACTCTACTTACAGGAATAAAATTGGAAAAGGATTTTTTTTTTTAAATATTTAATTTAAAAACCGCGCAGTAAACTGCCCTGGGATAACAAAAGGAAAACAAAGCATTAAAATGAAACAATTCATTGTGATTATGAACAAGTGTGGAAAAGGTTGATTGCTGACTGGGGAGTATTAAATGCATCTCTGTAGTTTAGGCACTAGTTGATGTTATGTTTGACTGTGATTGCATTTAAGTGTGATAGATTGGTGTGCAGTCTGTTATGTTCCGAACTGCTTCATTCAGCATACGTGAAAATTTGAAGAATGAATAGATGTGTCAGAGGCATTTTAATTTTTATCTTGCATCATCAAGCAATGCACTTTTTACTGATTTTTCCACCCGCTGCCCCACTTGGAAACTTCTGAGAAACCTGGAAGCTTCTTTTTGCATGTCTAGAAATGGCACTTTTTATTTTCTGAAGGGTATTCTGTCTGTCAGTGCACTTTTTTCCCTTTAGAAGTTGTGAAGACTGCAAGATGGCAGATTGTCAGGATTTCAAGGAATAAAAAGCAGCAAACCTAGAATCTCTCTTCCCTAGAATCTCTCTTCCCTTGGGACTTGATCTCACAATGTATTGAAGACTTTGGCTTTTGCTAACTTAGTGGTTGATGAGGAAACTCAGAAAACTTGAAATTGGGACCTTCAAAATAGTCTTGGAAATGAGGAAAATGAACCACTATTTTTGTGTCTTCTTGCACTGAAATTAATATGAAAACATTCTTTGTCTTCAGTGAGAAGATTGGTATATGCATTTTGGAATTATGGCACTTAAGTGGATAGGGTAATGGTAGCAGATATTTCTTTCTTAAGTCTTCATTTCGTTCAGGTGGGCAGAACAAAGTTTTGTGAGTATTATGGCAGTATGCGGTTATTGAAACATTTGAAAAAGTTTTAATTTTTACCAAAGTAATTATGAGATAGTGTTTTGAGAAGAAAGTAACAACCATTTTCTGCAACTGCATTAACTACTGACAGTAAAAATCTAATCTGAAGGAAGGTTGCTTATTGAATCCTTTCATTTGGACCCTAGAAGCAATTAAAGGCTTAGAGCAATTTTAATTTCATTGAGGTGTGAAGTCTACAATTTGTGAAGAACATCTTCATTTCAGTTGTCTGATTTATTTATCTTACCATTATTTGTTTATCTGTTATATTATTTCTTTGCCTACCACAGTATGCTTTTTTGTTTGTTTATTGGCATACTGGGTTTTGGGACAGGTTCTTCATTATCTCCTAGGATCTTTTTTTTTTTTTTTTTTTTTTTTTTTTTTTAAACACAC